AGTTCTCTCAGCCCCACCCACCTCACAGGGTGTCTGTTGTGGGGAGGGGAAGGGAAAGGAGTTTGTAAGCCGCTCTGAGACTCCAAGTGAAGGGCGGGGTATAAATCCAATCTCCTCCTCTTCTTCTTCTTCTTCTTCCGTGTTCTAGCACACGTAGTCATGAATGTGGTAGAGCTGGATCAGGGCCCCCATGTGACTCAGCAGAGATCTTCAGTGTTCACGCCAATACCCTTCGGTTTGCTTTAAGCAATGAGACATCTTTGTCAGTGCTGTGGTTGCTGCCTGTCTTATCCCAGATCTTCAAGACTGAGTAGGAGGTCTAGTTCTGGTGGCAGAACGCTGACGTGTGGGCTGAATGATACCCACTTCTCTAGCTTTAATCACTTTCTCGTTCATTTCCTCCTAAGGTCATTCCATCACCCCCAAACCCAGCTGCCTGCCTTTCAATGTTCCCCCTAAGCTGTGGAGTCCTGTGAGCAAAAATTCTACTTTGTGAGCTGCTGGCATTAAAGTTGTGAGCCAGCGAATGGGCTAGTGCATAAATTAGTTTGCTCTGGAGCCATCTTTCTTGAGCTAAGACAAAATGTGTGAGCCGGAGGCTAAAGAACTGTGAGCTAGCTCACACTAACTCAGCTTAGAGGGAACACTGCTGTCTTTATTCATCCACTGCTGCTGTCTCCATAGATTCAACCTCTCTGGATAGTTCATCCTGCCCTTCCTCCAAGAAGCTCATGTTGGCTTTCACGGTTCTCCCCTCACAAACCACCTTGTCAGCTAGATTAAGCTGAGAGTCATTGTGTTTGGCTCCAACCTGGATCACCCAGGCTAGCCCAATCCCGTCAGATCTCAGAAGCTAAGCAGGGTCAGCCGTGGCTAGTATTTGGATGGGAGACCACCAAGGAATCCCAGGGTTGTGACGCGGAGGCAGGCAATGGCTAACCACCTCTGAACATCCCTTGCCTTGAGAACCCTAGGCGGTCCCCAGAAGTCAGCTGTGACTTGATAACAAAACAATAGCAACAGCGACATTCTGTTTCATCCAACCAGCTTTTCCACTGGTGAAAAATGGAGGAAGGGGTCCCCTTTGACCATTTAAAAAGTTGTGCTGGTGGGATCATGGGAACTGCACGGACAAAAGCCATGTCAGACAAGGAATGTAGTAAGGAGGAGAATTGGGCTGAATTGAATGGAGAAAGCTGGCTATAACCAACTCATTGACTGACAAAATATCACCAGTGGGGAGTAAGCCATTTGAACAGAGCTTGCAGTGTTTCTATCTGTATACTGTTTTTCTCTTGTTGATGGACCATTATCGTGTTTTTATTACTCTTATACAAGTTGCTGCTTTGTTAGCTGCCTGATTCCACGGAGGCAAGGTGAGATATAAATATTTTAAACAAATAAATCAGTAGCATCTGATTTGAACCCAGATCTCTCAGCCCACTTACTACACCATACCACCTTTCTTTTTAACTCACTGTTAAATCCTCCTCTAACAGTTTTTTTAAAAAAACCCTATTAGATTAAAGAGCAGCATGATTCTGATGATGGCAAGAAAAATAAACAATTGATGGATTTGATTCTTTGCCTTTCTCAGTCTCAGGTAAAGACACCTTCAGTTTCCTTACTAGATTTATCTCCTGACAGTTTCCCCATTTTATCCTTATGCAACCCTGTGAGATAAGTTAACAGGTGATGATGATGGTCTCCCCGTTTGTTCATGGCAGAGAGGGAATTCAAACACAGATAATCCTGGACATAATCCAACATTCTTGTTGATGCACCCCACTGGCTCCCTTTAACATTCTCCAGGAAAAGCACTGATCTAGCAGCCATTCAGGGCTTGGAGAAATCAAGATTTAAGGTGAATTAGAGGGCCAAGGCCATCAGTTTGCTGTTAAGGTGACCAGGTACAAAAGAAGCCGGTCCCCCATAACACTTATGTTGTTGTCAAACAGACTGTGAGGCTGCAGCCAGTAATAAGAAAACCTTTGTATGTTAATGGTGAAGATAACTTTTTAGCAGTTCCGACTTTGACAAAGAATATTTGAAACGGGATTCTACAGCTAGCCTACCCCTGAGCCAGGACCAATTTAGCAGAGAACAACTTTGACCCAAAAGGGATTAACTTCACCAGGGATCATTCCCAAGAAAACAAGAGTACAGAAGTTTGCAAATGGCTTTGTGCTGATGATACTCGAAGGTCCTTCTGAGAAAGACACTTGAGAGGATTGTATGTGAATGTACTGAAGTTTGCAAATGACAAAAGTACCATAAACCAGACTGATGTTGTTTCTACATGGCTATTGTTATGAATCTATGAAGGTGTGTCTTTTTAAGACCTTTGTTGGTGAGAAAAGCAGCAATCATTGAATGCCCCTTTCTAAACAGGTGTTCAAAACAGACTCATTCACTTGTTTGAACAGGGGAGGAGCTGTTGTGGCACAGTTAGTAAAGCATCTGCTGGGAAGGCAGAAGGTCCCAGGTTCAATCACTGGAATCTCCAGTTATTAGGATCAGATAGTAGGTGATGTGAAAGACCTCAGCCTGAGACCTTGGAAAGCTGCTGCCCTCGATAGAAGGTCAGACTGGAACCAATGGGTTGAAATTAAATCAGAAGAGTTTTTGGCTAAACATTACAAATCAAGTTAAAATAAAAGAGAAATCAAGTTAAAATAAAAGCTATTTGGCTCCCAGTGGCTATTGGCCACAGACATGGTGTTTTGTTGCATTCTAATTTTGGGTTATTGCTTTGTCAAGTGGTGCAGAGCCATCTGTGACCGCTTAACTATGAAGCCTTGAGCATCAATCTTATTTTGCATTTGTTGGCTGGTCAGATTCAGGAGCACCATGTCAGGGGCAAAATAAGTTTAGAGCATTACATGGTCACATGAAAACTGCCTTAAACTGAGTCAAACCATTGGTCTGCCAAGGCCAGTATTGTCTTCTCTGATTGGCAACAACTCTCCAGAGTCTCAGAGTCTTTCACAATACCTACCTGCCTTGCCCTGGATAGGTCAGGCTAGCCCGATCCCATCAGATCTCGGAAGCTAAGCAGGGTCAGTCCTGGTTAGTATTCGGATGGGAGACCACCAAGGAAGTCCAGGGCTACAATGCAGAGGCAGGCAATGGCAAACCACCTCTGAAACGTCTCTTGCCTTTAAAAGAACTCTAGCTCGCCATCTAGTGGTGCGTAACCCAAAAAGAGCTAGAATCTCTGGCTGCCAGACAATCTTAGAATCTCCTGGCTATTCTACACACAATATAAAGACCAAAAATATTGCTGCACAAGTTCATATGCTTACAAAACTAACAATAATGACATTTTAATATTTCAGCAAAACAGTAACATCAAAAGACCGAAGTCTTCAAACTGCGGAAGCAAGGACGAACTTTCTCGAGCTTGACAGTCCGTTTCGACCTGAGTCTTTATCAAACGTCAGTTTGTGTTGTTATTTCTTCAAAGCATGAGTTTCCAAAATATGTGCATCAATTCAAAAGTGGCTAATAATAGCTCTAGTATGTAACATACTAGAGCTATTATTAGCCACTTTTGAATTGATGCACATATTTTGGAAACTCATGCTTTGAAGAAATAACAACACAAACTGACGTTTGATAAAGACTCAGGTCGAAACGGACTGTCAAGCTCGAGAAAGTTCGTCCTTGCTTCCGCAGTTTGAAGACTTCGGTCTTTTGATGTTACTGTTTTGCTGAAATATTAAAATGTCATTATTGTTAGTTTTGTAAGCATATGAACTTGTGCAGCAATATTTTTGGTCTTTATGTTATCTAAATTGCTGGGTCCTGGTTACTTTACATATGTATATTCTACACACAATGCCATATGATAATAATTATTATTACAACACCTACCACCTGATCCTTTTAGCGGGAGATGATGGGGATTGAACCAGGGACCTTCTGCACGCCAAGCAGGTGCTCAACCACTGAGCCACAGTCCTATCCCATCATAGGGGGGGAAACTGACATATTCCCGATAAGAGTTCATTGGAGATTCTAGTTCGTACCCTTATATCTGACAGCTCCATGGGGATTTGGCATACCCACAAAATGCTATAATCTACCATACAGTGTATTGATAAGTATAGATGATAGGCTGATAGAAGAGAAGAAGAAGAGAAGAGAAAAGATTGGATTTATACCCCGCCCTTCACTTGGAGTCTCAGAGCGGCTTACAAGCTCCTTTCCCTCCCCCTCCCCACAACAGACACCCTGTGAGGTGGGTGGGGCTGAGAGAACTCTGACACAAACTGCTCTTTTTCAAGGACAGCTGTGCCAGAGCTTGTGACTGACCCAAGGTCACAACAGCAGGTGCAAGTGGAGGAGTGGGGAATCAAACCCGGTTCTCCCAGATTAGAGTCCGCGCACTTAACCACTACACCAAACTGGCTCTCTGATAGCAGCCTGAACTGCCCTGGGTAGCCTGAGCTCATCACAGCTCAGAAGCTAAGCAGGGTCTGCTATTGTTAGTACTGGGATGGGAGGCTACCAAGGAAGACCTGGGTTGCTATTCAGAAGAAGGCGATGGCAAAGCCACCTCTGAACATCTCAAGCCTAGGAAACCCTGAGGTCCTGGGGTCACCATGAACTGGTTGTGACTTGACAACCTATCATCGTAAACGACAGGATTGCTTCCTATCCTTTCTGTCACAAAATGCAATGCAGCCAAGTTTCAGGGTGAGAATGTCACAAAACTGCCCCATGCCATGAAGCTGCCTGGTGCCCATTCAGACTACAGGTCCATGGAGCTCACTGTCTCCTCTCGCTGGCTACAGTTTCCCAGGTCCTCAGGCTGAGGAAGGTTTTCCTGGCTGCCCAGAGATCCGAGGGACTGAACGTGGGACGTTCTGCATGCAAAGCAGAGGCTCAGCCGGAACCAATCTCTGCTGCTCCAGGCAGGAACCCTTCCTCAGAGAAGTGTGTCTTTCAAAATTACTCTGGCCTTTAGAGGGGGAGAAAGATGTGAAATGACTCACCCCAGCCAATTGGAGCCCCGGAGCCACTGTCTGCAGCAATGGCGGGAAGAAGAACAAAAAAGTAAGTACAGAGCACTGAACTTGTCACTGCCATCCTGAGCGCCTATTCCATCCTGGGCATGGGAGCATGCCTGTGAGTCAGCGATCGAGGCAGAGAAAGAGGAGCTTGGCTTGCTATTTTATACCCTCGCTCTAGAGAGAACCCTTTGATAAGACGACCGCAAGCGAGGGTAAGTTGTCAAAACAATGACGAGTGGGCACGGAGCGAAACAGGAAGCTCGGGAGAACGTACTTGCTGAGCGAGGGACGATGAAAAGATTACCCAGACTCACGTATGCAGGTTCAAGCCCCTCTCCCTGTTCTGCACCGCAGGATTATTCCAAAGGTAGAAGTGCCATTTTTGAGGGGTGGATGGGACAGGCGGAGAGTCCCAGCTGGAAGGTGTTGTAGCAAAGGCCCGGTGCCTGCACTTGGAGGCCTTCAGGGTGCACTTGCAAAAAAGAAACACTAGTGTGGTTCTTTTTCTTGCTGCACCAAAAGTGTAGGAGCTCTTGAGGAACAGGTTTCAGGTAGCGACGAGGAGTTAAAAAGGAACCACACAAAAGCTGCTCTCTCTCTCTCTCTTTTTGTTTTGCAATTTAACCATTAATGCCTCCAAGAGTAGGCATTGAATCCTTGCTTTGATTCTCAGCTCCTCCCATCCTTAAGTGGGACCAAAGTCCTCCATAATAAAGAGCATGGAGTCTTAGGAAAGTTAGAATCATGGAATCGTAGAGTTGGAAGGGTCCTACAGGGCCATCTAGTCCAACCCCCTGCACAATGCAGGAGATTCACAAATACCTCCCCCACACACCCCCAGTGACTCCTGCTCCAAGTCCAGAAGTTGACAAAAAACCTCCAGGATCTCCAGCCAAACTGGCCTGGAGAAAAATTGCTTCCTGGCCCCAATGTGGCAATCAGCATTTCCCTGGGTGTGTAAGAAAGGGCCACAAGAACTAAGCACTGATGCAACCCTCCGTGCCCTCTCTCTCACGATCACAGAATCAGCATTGCTGTCAGATGGCCATCTAGCCTCTGAAAAACTCCAAAGAAGGGAAGCCCACCACCTCCTGAGGAGGCCTGTTCCACTGAGGATTCGCTCAGTTCTTCTCAGGAGCACGAGATTCGAGTTCAGTAAGCACCTAGGTTCCTGGGAGAAGGATCCCTTGGTTTGGCGCCTGCCTTGATTTTGCTGAAGGTGGGTGAAGGAGGAGAAGGGCAGGTTGACCTGTCTTGGGTTTTTCAGTGAATCCCTTAGCAGAGTGATTCTCCGTGTTGGTGTTAGCTTTGCCTCCCACGGCTTGGCTTAGTCTGCCATGCTTGGGCTAGGGTAGATGGACGCAATAGCCAGCCTAGCAACTGCTGCATCCTCCCGCTTCTTGTTCTCGGCTCCTCATCCTTCCTCTTTCTTCCTTGTCTAGGTAATTTCTCTGTGTTCCTCAAGCTTGTTCTTCTTGGTTCTCCCTCAGCCTAGTACTTGGCTGACTGTTGCTGTGGCCATACCCTGGCATTACATTAGAAAACCAAGAATTAGGAGACCAAGCCCCATGAGGAAAGGCTGAGGGACCTGGGAATGTCCAGTCTGGAGAAGAGGAGGCTGTGGGGGGACATTGATTGCTCTCTCAAAGTATCTGAAGGGCTGTCCCTTAGAGGAGGGCAGGGAGCTGTTCCTGTTGGCAGCAGAGGAGAGGACTCACAATAATGGGTTTAAATTAAGGGCGGGAAGGTTATTAGGAGAAACTTTTTTCCAGTAAGAGTTGTGCAACAGTGGAATCAGCTGCCTAGGGAGGTGGTGAGCTCCTCCTTACTGTCAGTCTTCAAGCAGCGGCTGGACAAACACTTGTCAGGGATGCTCTGAGTCTAGGCTGATCCTGCATTGTGCAGGGGGTTGGACTAGATGGCCCTTCCAGCTCTATGAGTCTGTGATTCTATGAAATGCTTTGATCAATTTCCCTGCAATGAATCATTTATTGACGCTCCAAGATTTTTTATACTGCAGAGATCTTGCTCGCCCGTGGAAGACCAGCTCAACATGGCCACAAGGCAACCTCCAGAGCATCTTCTCCATCATCCCAATGGTCTTCTAAGTTCATTCAAGTCAAAAGGCTTAGAAGGGTTTAACACTGTTTAGGATTGCACTGTAAACCTCTTAATTCATTAGGATGTTGCTGATGTTTATGTTTTCTGCCTGATTCCTGTTATCCTCCATGTTCTGTGTCTTCTGTGTTGGACGTGTGGAGTTTTGCTTATAGAAGGAGGAGGGTGAGATAGGATAAATGGTTGGAAGAAGTCATGGCTGTTGTGTCTCCCAGTACGTTTGGAGATCTGCAGCCCAATCCTGAGCATGGTTATTTGGAAGTAAACCTCTTTTTTTGCATTTAATGGGAATTAGTCATAGGAAGGGGTCATTTCCTGCAGGAGCGCACAGGAGCGGAGTTCCGGCAGTAAAGAGCCCAGGGGGCAGGCACATGCAACAAGCCCCACCCCCTGCTCCCAGCAGCCCTCAGTCAGAGCAAGAAGCAGCCAGGTAAGTTGCAGAGCCCCCCCATCACACCTTCAGGTACAAGCTCTCCCTCCTCTGTGAGGACAGATCTGCATGTCCCCCCCCCCAATAGTTAGCAATCCAAAACAGTCCAGTGGAGCCTGAGGGGTGGGTGTTGCCTTCTGACACACTTCCAGTGATGTCAGGGGTGTGTGGCATATGCAAATGAGTTATGCTAATGAGCTCCTGCACCTCTTTTCCTATGAAATGACCCCTGGTCATAGGCATCCTTAAAGGTATACCACAGATCTGGCAACCGTACTTCTTTGTTGGAGAAGTCTGAAGGCTCTCACGACAGACAGACTTTCTTTTGTTGCCATAATGCAGAATTGGAGGTGGCACGCTGATGAAAATAGAAGCAGCTTCTCCCTTCACACAAATTCCTCTTTCCACAATGGGAAGTACCTAACGGAAGGGAAATAAACTAATGCAGACAGAAGCCACCCATATTCACTGTATCCAACACAAATGTTTCATTCCTTCTGCACAGTGTGTGTGTGTCTCTGCAAGGTTGCAGGATAAACTATTCAATCCAACTTCTTGCCTGCTTTGGTTGCCTGGTGGATGACCGGCACCAGGGGATGGATGGATGGGGGGAGGGAGCATGAACCTGTTGGTCTTCCAGGACCTTTCAGAAGCTTTTGATACCATGAGTCATGGTATCCTTCTGGATTGCTTCTCGGGGTTGGGACTGGTAGGCACTGTTTTGCAGTAGTTTTGGTCCTCCAGGGCTCTTTTTGTAGCTGGGACTCCTTTGCATATTAGGCGACACACCCCTAAGGTAGCCAATCCTCCAAGAGCTTACAGTAGCCCCTGTAAGAAGAGCTCTGTAAGCTCTTGGAGGACCGGCTACTTTAGGGGTGTGTCGCCTAATATGCAAAGGAGTCCCCGCTACAAAAAAAGCGCCGGTCCTACCTGGAAGGTGAGTTTCAGCACGTGGTACTGGGGGAACTGCTGGTCAGCCCCTTGGCCACTGACCAATGGTGTCCTACAAGGTTCTGTCATCCCCCCCCCATGCTTTTGAACATCTATGGGAAGTTGCTGGGTAAAGTCATCCAGAGATTTGGGCTGGATTGTCCCCAGTATGCAGATGACATTCAGCTCTATCGTGCACTTCCAACAGTTGTAGACACCTTGAACAGATGCCTGGAGGCAGTTTGGACATGAATGTGGGCCAATAAACTGAAGCTTAATCCTGAAGAGGTGGTGTGGCCTCATTTGGAGTACTGTGTACAGTTCTGGTCACCGCACCTCAAAAAAGATATTATAGCCTTGGAAAAAGTGCTGAAAAGGGCAACTAAAATGATTAAGGGAATGGAACACCTTCTGTATGAAGTAACGTTAAAGAAGTTAAGGATCTTTAACTTGGAGAAATGATGATGGAGGGGTGACATGACAGAGGTTTACAAAATTATGTATAGGACAGAGAAGGTAGAGAAAGAAGTACTTTTCTCCCATTCACACGATACAAGAACTCATGGGCACTCACTGAAATTAATGAATAGTAAGCTTAGAACAGATAAATGGAAGTTCTTCTTCACCCAAAGAGAAATTAGCATGTGGAATTCACTGCCGCAGGAAGTGGTGGCAACTACAGGCATAGACAGCTTCAATGTTAGGCTTCCAGAGCCCACCAAAATGCCCCCCCCGGTTCATTAAAGGGAACAATATATCCAAAGCTTTAGGTTCCCCATCCCAATGTCTGTCTCTCTCTTTACGTCTCATGTCAATTTCATCGTGCACTGATGATCCTCCCCCATCATGTTTGCATGCAGCATTAAAATCCTTTTTTTTTTTTTTGCTCTGGGGGTGCTGCTGTTTGCCTTCTCTCCAATCCCCCTTTCAAGTCAATACCAGCAGGGAACGAAACCTTATGCAGCTCCTTTTAAACTCCCCCCTGTGGTTTTATTATTATTATTTTTTCTGTTATTTTTTTTATTTTTTCCACTTTTACATTTATACATTCCGTCTAAACATCTTACATATATATCAGAGTCATTCATCATTTAATTCTTATATAAATGTTACTTCATTAGTCGCTTGACAGTTCTCCTAGCCAGTTATACACTTTTCCCCATCTTTTCTCATGTACCTTTTCACTCTTATTCTGCAATATTAAACTCAAATCATCGATTCTTGCTAACTCCAATATTTTAACTACTAACTCTTCCCTTTTGGGTATAACATCAGATTTCCAATTTCTGGCCAAAAGCAGTCTAGCGGCTGTTATTATGTATCCTAATACATATGATTCTTGCTTATTATAACCTTTCGGGATCATATTTAACAGATATATTTCCGGTTTTAAAGCTAAGTTTTTTCCCATAATTTCTTGAATTACTTTCCGAACCATTTTCCAATATTCTTGTATCTTACTACACATCCGCCACATATGGTAAAATGTCCCCGGGTTCGAACCTGGTTTTATTATTTTTTAATTCAATTATCTAAGACTAGCCATGTTCTTATATCGCTAGACTCATGTTGCTTGTAAAAA